GAAAGAGAAAGAAGGGGGGGGGGGAAGCGTTCTCCACCTCTGGCCCAGACTCAAGTTGGTCACCTCCGACAAGACGAGGTCTGCAAGTCGGGAGCTTTGGCTCTCTACGCCGCCTGCTGCTTTTTTTGGTAGACAAGGCCACCTATTTCTGAAATTGAGTTGCAATCGAACGCCATCCTTTTATGCCTCGTCTTTCATCCGATGCCTCTGTGATACAGCCCCAGGGTGGGGGGTGGGAGGCCACGGCGGCTCTTCCTTACTTCTTCACCACCACCACCTCCTCCTCCTCCTCCTCTCATGAGGTCCTTCCACCAGAGCAGCCCCAGTGCGACAGAAAACATTTCCCACGTCTGATATTAGTTCCAGATGCTGGTAAGCCACTCGGGTCTCTACCTTGCCCTGTGAACACTCTCTCACACAGACATCTTTCCAAAGCAGGTCCTGCTCCGAACCATGGCCGCCGTGCTGCAGCAACCTCCCCATGCGGCCCCATCCATGGAGGTTTCCCTTTGCTGTCCATGAGCGTCGCCTAACCAGGCTGCGTATTGCTGTGCCATGGCTCACACTTACTTTATCTCCGAGAGATTCCCTTCTGGTCTCCAAACCAATAGGAACGCAACAAACACAAAACCTACGTGAGGAGAAGGAAGGGGTCTCGAGGCTGCCTCGCGATGCGTTCACGCCCGTGGGTCCAGTCTAGGCGCTGGCTGTCAGAGACCTCAAATGGAAACTGAACCCTGAAACTGAGCCGGGCTGAGGGTTCTCGATCTGGTCGGGAGGTTTGGCCGGCTGTGGGCAGGCTAAGGAGGAGACCGCTGGAAAGGACCCCAGTGGCCGGGAGTGAAGCTACCCAAACCTTCTCCGGCTCCGACATGGATTTCTGTCTATACCGGGGGGCAGGGGCATGATGATGGTGGGAAGGCTGTTTTGAAGGGGTCCTAACCCATCTGCTCCAACTCTGGAGGCCTGCGAGAGAAATTGGGACCACCCCCCCCGGAAGATCTCCTTTGGTTTGGATGCCTGCCTTGGGCAGACGGTGGGATCCCCATGGCTTTGCCAACCTCTATACAGACCTTATAGACCCCCCCAGGACCTGGGACCGGCAGGTCAAGCCCCTGAACAACATCTGCACAGCAACATGTTATTTTTACTGGCTTGGTGAGAGTTCAGGGGTTGAGGTCTGTGGTTGCGGAGTCAGACGTTCAGTGTTTGATTCCCCCCCCCCATGGGGGCTCCAGGGAGAAGAGCCAGCCCGGGTGGCCTTGGGCCAGCTGCACCATCCTTAGGATGTCCCCAGAAAAAAGGGAATAGGAAGCCACTCCCTGAGTAGTCTCTGCTAGGAAAACCCCGACCCAGGATTATGATTCTATTTATATCTCCTAGAATACCTCCAGCCAACAGTTGGGTCTTTTGAGTTGCTATTGTCCAAAAATGTAACTTTTCCGCTCTCTGCTTTCTCAATGGGAGCTGCATTGAGGGAGACACTCCAGGTGGAGGACTGTAGCCACTTCCGGAGGGTTACAGAACCCCGAATGGTGTAGGGGGTCACCCCCTCCTCTAGTCTTTCAAGGGTCAGGCTTGAACAAGAGGAGGTTTCCTGCACATGAGTCTGCAGGGAGAGAATTCTACACAAAACAGCTCATGGGGGGCGGAGGGTGGGGAACACGGCCTCCGTCTCCCTCCTTTTGGGAAGAAGACCTGTCCGAAAACGGAACTGCTCAGGGGCAACGGCAACAGCCCCGCAAGGGCAGCACAACGGTGACGGCAAGAATCCCATCCTCTCGGAGATATCACAAGACTCTGGGATGCCGAGAAAGACCCTCTTGGGACGGGCTGCCCCCTATGGGCCTTGAGGGGAACCTGCTAGATGGCATGTAGACAAGCTCCCTTCTGCATCTACACACCAGAAACCTCTCCCCCCCCCTCCATTTGTCCAGGTTTGAAAAACTTGTTCCAGAGTCAACTCTGGTGACCGAAAGCTTCGGGGACTGGCCCAGCAGAACGTACAGGATGGGTTTTCCATGGTGAAAGTTGCTGGAGGCCACAGATGCCCAAGGGGCGAGGGTGAGATGCAGACAAGAGGCTCAGCTGCCATATTGGGCGAGACCCAAGGGACCCTTCCCAAACCTTCAGCTCTGGATGGAGGCTCCAGAAGGAAACGAACCCCATCTGGGTCTGTCAGAAAAACAACAGCTCATTCACTTTGAGCATCACTTCCAATGACCTCCAAAGACCCTGAGAGCCCCCCCCCCCGAACTGGGACTTGGAGGGCTTTGCCATGGTGGGCACGGAGCACACGCCCCTGAGGAAATGAAGCCGTAGCGGGACTGAAGCGGGCCCTGTGCCCAGTGCCTTCGAAGCATTCTGTACGACATGGGTGGGCCATGCTGGGGGGGGGGAGAAGGCCCCCAATGTCTTTTGTTCCCAACAAGATAAAGGTGTACCAGGTTTGTAACTGGATAGAGATGTCCTCCCCCTTACAAAAAAGTGGAGGAAAAACACCAAGCCACTCCTTTTAATTTGACTTAAAACCCTTCGCCCCTAACCTGCCTGATGCAAAAATGGTTGCTTCTGAAAGCTTCCGGGAGCAAGAAAAAAACTCTCTCTCTCTCTCTCTCTCTCCGGGGGCTTCACGTGGCCCCGGGGGCTTCGAAGGGACTGCAAACACACGCTAGGAGGCTGCTCGTGGCTCACGGGTGACCCTCTACCCACTGGTGAGGCCAGAGCCAGCTGATGGACCAGAAGCAGACACCCCCCAAACCGTCTGCTTGGCTTCCAGCAGATTCGGGAAGACCCCACTCACCCGTGTAGAGGTCGGTGTCGGTGTACTCGTCGACCTTCTTGTGATGGAGGACGTAGTCGGAGACCTTCGTTCCGATGGCCGGCTGCACGTCGAGCCACTCCAGGGAGACGATGGTGCTGGAAGGTTCCACGTTTGGGGACAGACGCAACCTGGATCGAATGGAGAAAAAAGACAGGTGTCCATATGCTAGCCTGGGTCTCTTTTCCTTGCCAGGGAGAGGAACGCTTTGGCACATATGCACGCCCATGCTTGGACACTCTTGGCCACAGCTCCCTCCTGGCGCGAGGCTCCACGCAGGCGTGGATCACCCTGGGTGTGATTCATGGAGGCCACGAAGAATAACCCTCTGGTCTACCAACCAAAGTCAGAGAGTTGGGAGCGGACGCTAGACAGGTAGACGAAAGATCCGAAGATAAGGCTCCATGCTTTGTATCTCCTGTGAGCTTTTGAATGCTTTGTGGCATTTGATAGAGAAGCAGGGAAGAGGGGCTTGGGAGAGAGCTCTTTCACGATTCAGAAAGCCACTAATGACTGTAGAAAATGGGGCAGGATCAGGACGTTTCTTAAAGTATTTGCAGAGGTGCTTCCCTTAAGCGGTGAAACAAAAAAAAGTCTGTTTGCCACAGTATGAGATTTCCCTAGCCTGCGTATCTTGGATTTAGCATGCTTTATTTTATGAGTGATCTTTGAAGCAAAACAGAGGGTAATCTGTAAACCTGGCTGGTGAGGAATCCATGCCTGAGGACACCCCATTGAAGGAGAGGTGATTAAAGAGGTCCATCGTTGTGTCTCTCTCTCTCTCTCTGTGTTCATGTGTGTGCGTGTGGGTAAAGCCAAAGCATCAAGGCTCCGCTCCACCTCTTTTTGTCAAGGGCCCCACTCTCTAGCGCAGAGTTTCCAAAACCACTCCAATGTAATTCAGCACCCAAAAAAGAGAGAGACCTTGCTAGTTGGACAAAATTAGAACCACCCCACGGAAAACCTGACTCAATGGATTATTTAGGCAGATCCTTTTAAACTTAGCCAAGGCTCTCCTCCCTCTCTCGCACTTCCGAGGGCAACGCTACACAGACGCTTGGTAGCAGACTTGGAAACAACGACAGTTATCTCAGTGGATTTGGAGTGAAAAAAAAAGGGGGAAACCAAAATATACAGCACTCTCTGGAAAGAATGGAATGGTTCCAATAAACGAGCTTGCTTAGTATTGTTCTACAACAGATCCTTCCACCCGTCTTCCAAAATAGTGAGTGTCTCATCAGAAGTCTGGTACCAGCCAAGACTTCTTGTCTCTCTAGAAGAGCCATTTAGTCATCAGAGGGTTTTCGAGGCATAAAACATTCTGAAGTGGTTTACTATTGCTGCCTTCTGTGAAATACTAACAAGTGTTAGCTTGAGTGCCACTTGCCTAGAACAGATCCTTCCACTCCAGCTGCTGCCTAGCAGCTGCCCTTCAGGTCTTTCCCCAGCCCCGCCAGCGCTGAAACTAATCAATTTTCTTCTGCTGAAATCACCCTTCATTCCTGGAGAGCATGGGGGGAAATCCTATTCTGGTGTCTCTTCCTTGACCCATTTCACGGTGAGTGACTCTGGGCACTTAAAACTACTAAAACGGACACATCAGAGGATAAGGATGACTGAAAAAGACAATAATGGTAGTAAAAGTCGAAGATGTATCTCTGAGCTTGAGTGAATCAATAAGGGAAGGCATGGCCTTTAGGCTGCAAGACTACTAATGGCAGGACTTTCGGATTAAAGCAAGGCAGATTATTTCACATAGTTGCTGTAAGTTAGAAGTGACCTGCTGGCACAGAACATCAACCGAAGATAAGAAGGGATACACCCAGTGGCCCCTGGAGCCATGGCGGTACTCCAGATGGACCACTGGGCATGGCACAGATCGACCAAAGACACACTAATCTGCTTTAAGAAGGAGTGAAACGGTTGAAGCCATTACAGGAAGAGAAAAGCAAAAGTTAAAGTGGCAGAGTGGGTTTCAGGCATTTGTTCCCTGAAAGACATTGATCCTTAAATGTCAGACACACAATCTGGATAACGAAGAACGTTTACTGACTGTAACAGGGACTGATAGGTTATGGAGTTCACCAAACGGCCGTGAATGGGTCAACTGAATGCTGCTGGCCGAAGGCTACCTTTAAAGGTGTTCCAAAGGGCTTGCCCAGAAAAGGCCATCACGCACCGGACTGCATAAAGGCAAAGGCGAGGAACATTGGAACGGTGGTTGTTTGTGTTGGTTGTCATCACGGGAAGTTGTAGCGAAAGAGAAAGAAGCGGGGGGGGGAAGCGTTCTCCACCTCTGGCCCAGACTCAAGTTGGTCACCTCCGACAAGACGAGGTCTGCAAGTCGGGAGCTTTGGCTCTCTACGCCGCCTGCTGCTTTTTTTGGTAGACAAGGCCACCTATTTCTGAAATTGAGTTGCAATCGAACGCCATCCTTTTATGCCTCGTCTTTCATCCGATGCCTCTGTGATACGGCCCCAGGGTGGGGGGTGGGAGGCCACGGCGGCTCTTCCTTACTTCTTCACCACCACCACCTCCTCCTCCTCCTCCTCTCATGAGGTCCTTCCACCAGAGCAGCCCCAGTGCGACAGAAAACATTTCCCACGTCTGATATTAGTTCCAGATGCTGGTAAGCCACTCGGGTCTCTACCTTGCCCTGTGAAC